TGACGGTAGTCAGTGGCGAAGCCAACCAGCTCAAGGAGTCGGACAAACTCTTTGCACCCTGACGTGGTCAGCATTTGTCCAAGGAATTAACAATACTAATCATGGTTGCTTTGTACTAGTTAGTGAAGAATGGCAGAAGCAGCCCGGGCAGCTGCCCCGGGTCGCCAGGAGCTAGCTCCGCCACTGGCGGTAGTACTAGTTGTTTACTGGTCTCGGAATTTCGATGTAATTTAAATCATGTTTAAGATGTTTATACTTCCGGTGAACTTTAATAATAGATCTGATCTTTTCACAAAAGAAAATTATGACTATTGTTTTTTTTGAATGACGACTATTGTTTCTACGGTAATGCTACACCTACATTGGAGAAGTAACGTGCTTTACATGATTAGCAACATGGGTAATTGTCATTGGAGAAGGGGGAGGATGGGGTCCCACTGACCTGAAAATAGGGGGAGGGAGGGCAGAGAAGGATTTAGGAAGTTTACATAAAAACCTTTTGTAGCATTACGTGGGTGTAGGATTATCATTGTTTCTAATACCTCGGATACCTTATCGCAAAAAAAATAAAAATACCTCGGATACCTTAGTGACCTTCTACCATATTTGGAAGGGATTATGGGAGATATGGAAATAACTGTATGGCACCACTTGTCACGACTCCCGCCAACTAAGGAAGTTATCCCTAAATCGGTTGTTGAATAGGATTTCTTCTCAGAGCATTGGATTTGTGTCTTTCAAGGCACTACTCTCTCTTTTTTTTTGCGAAGTTCAAGGCACTACTCTGTGTCTACATAAGAAGCGAGAGGTTCCCTGCGGGAGACCAAAGTCACTTAAGATCCAAACTCGGTCAACATTCACAAGTCAATACAAATCGAACACGCCGTGAGCATTTCTATACTCACATACCTTTATATTAGCAATAATCGACAAATCCCTCAACTCTAGAATCAATGCAATCATGATTTTACTAAATGGAGAGTTGAAGGATTTGTATATAGGTGTAAGAAAAATTCTACTAAGATTTTCCCGCAAAAAAAAAAAATCTACGAAGATTTATTTGTGTTTTCTTTCCCATTACTAAAGAATCACAATAGTATTATTTGTACAAGGAATTACAATATTAATTTTGACTGGCATGATCACACATGACAGTGCACCAATGGTACAAGCGGACCCGTCACCATCGGCATCCATTCTTTTCTCTCACTATCCATATTCTTTCTCGTAGTCATGTGGATGGTGACACAACCCCTTCAAACTTGCACATTAAATCTGAAATATTAATGCAACGGAGAAGTAAAAATCAAGATGGTGAATAGTACATCCACCAAGAATCATGCGTGCCATAAAAAATGGCGAGCTTTGATGTCAAAATCATGTTGGTGAAATGTCATAATCTAGTTTGAAATTCACCTAATATTTTAGAGCCAAAGTTTATGTTGAGGAACAAGTGGTTAAGACACTGGTTCGGATCCAGGTCTTCACATATGTATTGTAAAATTCAAGAATTTCGATAACACAATTTACTAGCATTAGTTCTGTTCAGCAAAATGAAATAAACTTTTTCACAGTAGGGAACATAATTTGAGGGCAAGAACTGTACTAAGACTGAGGGGCTCTTCCGGGTGAGTGGTGGATATCACAAAGATTGAGGGCATCCTCAAGGCGGACCCGTAAACCTCCCGCAATCGTCCGGACCGTACTGTCCAGACCGCGAAAGCCATCCAACGCGGTCCTGTATCGGTCCAGGGACGGTCCGGACGCTATTTCTCCCGCAAAATGAAGACAAAAGTGGAGGAGGTTTGTGGGAGTCCGGACACGTGAAACGTACGAATCCGACACTCCATGTCCACCCAAAACCCTTTGCGGACCTCGTGACTCCATCCTCCGCGTTTTCTCTCCTTCCTTTTTTCTTTCTTGCCGTCGCTGCCGCTCCACCACCCCGGCCACCACGCCACACCCCTGCCGGAAATCTGCGTCTTTGTTACCTCCGACGATCCAGCAAGGCTCCCCGCTGCTTCTCCTTCGTCTCCGTTCAACCCCCTATCCTCCGACCGCCTCGCCAGGTACCATCCTCTACCATGCCCGTCAACTCTTCGATGAATCACCGGAGCTGAAAACAGTTGTCCCTTCTTGTTTGTAGCAATGGATTCTGATTTGGAGTATATATATGATAAGTATGTTGAGTCCTCCGACGACTCGTCGGACGAGGAGGAGTACTTCCGATGAGACAACAATGATGCAGGCGGTCCTTGAAGACACGGAGCGTGCGGAGGAGCATGTTCTCAATTTCAAGGGCTCGACCAATGGTCATCGAGTGCTCAACCGCAATAGGGCGCGTTTGCATTTAACACTGATGGCCGACTACTTTGCCCCTGACGCACTATTCGCTGACCATTTTCGCCGGCGTTTTCGGATGCACAAGACGGTCTTCAGTCGTTTGTACCATGGCGTCCGGCCCTACAATGACTACTTTATCCTGAAGAAGGACGCCATGGGAACGGTTGGCTTCTCTAGTTACTAGAAGTGGACGGTCGCACTTTAGATGCTTGCATATGGCACGACCGCTGATTCATGGGACGACTACCTACGGTTGTCTGAGCGCACATGCGGAGATGTCATGGTCAGGTTTGCAACTGCTGTGGTAGAGGTGTTCGGACCTCAGTACCTGGGAACTAACCGTGGCAGACACCGAGAGGCTCCTGGCAATCTCAGAAGCAAGAGGGTGGCTAGGTTTGCTTGGATCTCTTGACTGCATGCATTGGAAATGGAAGAATCGTCCGAAGGCTTTACAAGGGCAATATCAGGGTCATGTTAAGAAACCCACCATCATTCTTGAAGCAGTAGCATCACATGATATTTGGAGTTGGCACGCTTTTTTTGGCATTCCTGGGTCTCGAAATGACATCAATGTGCTGCAACAATCGTCGTTTTTTGCGAGGCTGATTGAAGGAAAAGCTCTTCCTTGCCACTATATTGTCAATGGACATGAGTACAACATGGGCTACTATCTAGTTGACGGTATCTATCCTCCATGAACTACCTTTGTCAGCACCAGGGGCGGATCCAGCCCAGCCCAGCGCCCCGGGCCTCCTTTGTGCATTGTAGCAATTGCTGCAGTGTTTTGCTGAATTCTACAAAGGAAATGGGCCTCACGCCCTGGGCCTGCCCCCCCCCCCCCCGGCCTGGGGCCTAGGTCCGCCACTGGTCAGCACCATCTCAAACCCAGTTGGCCAGAAAAAGGCCCACTTTACCCAAAGACAAGAAGCAGCTAGAAAGGATGTCGAGAGGGCATTTGGAGTTCTGCAGCTCCGTTTTTGCAGTTGTTCGTGGACCTGCAAAACAATGAGATCCGAAGACCTTTGTGGGAGGTGATGAGATGTTGTGTGATTATCCACAACATGATCATCGAGGATGAGGGTGACGATACTGCCGCAGTTCTGGAATTTGAGAACATGGGTGATTCTATCCAACTTTTGGACAAGAATCCGGCCACATTTGAGGAGTTTATTCAAATGCATCAACAAATTCGGCATCGACCAACTCATGAGCAACTCATGAGGAAGATCTGATTGAGCATCAGTGGACGGTGAAAGGGAACACAATATTGGGATGTAAATATTTGAACTTTTTAAAATTTGAACTAGTGTTGCATGAGGCTATTTGAATTTCTGCGCCCTTTGCATGCGGCTACTTGATCGTGCGGACTGGGATTTTTTTCTCCAAAAGACCAGATATATGCGGCTACGGTTGGATGCCGACCTCCCGCATCCGTGTCTCCGGATTGGTCCCCTTTCCGTGAATGAATGCAGAGAGTTTTTGCGGGTTGCCGCTGGAGATGCTTTAATGTCGCCAGTGCGGGTTCGCCAGAAATCCTGAAATAAACTAGTGAATAATGCAAGCAGCAGAATTTGAACCCTGATGAACTGGGAATATCAAGGACAGGGCGTCGACCCGTTGGCTGGGCAGCTGAGGTTGCTGCCAACCCACCCGAGTTCGAGTCCCGGCACGGACGCGCGGTGCTCACGGAGTTTCTCCTATTAAGAAAAGGCAACGAGGGTTAGCTCTTGGGTTGGTCTCATTTTTGATGAACTGGAAATATCACTGTCGCTCTAACCATCTAATCGCAAGTTAGTTCGCGGAAGTAAACACTGTTGGAAGACCCTATCCCATCCCATGTAGATGTGGCACTACAAAAGTCGAAAGCAATTACGAAGCCCTCGTTCGGAAGGGACGAACACGTCTGTCTCGCGCTCCTTCACACGCCAAAGCAACAACAGTACTACTAGTATAGGCTGATAGGTAAACGAGGGAATCAAACGAAGGAAATATTATTATCCAGCCGTCCCTTCAAAGCTTCCTTCCTTCCTTCTCCACTCCATCAAACAAGCCCCAAACGTGCACGCGGCCAACGTACGTGCACGGCACAGCCACGCCAACAGCAGCCGCATCTTACTAATTCTTATCATCATCGGTCCAAAATTTACCCTTCACCAACCCAAATTCGACAAAATTTGGCAAAACTACCTTTGACTCTTTTCTTTTGAATGAAATAGAGAGAGAAAGAGTCTGTCTTCTTATCGCAACGCAAATCATTGGAAGTGGTGAAGTGGTGATGATGAGATGCCTTCGTCGCGGCACCTAAAACGAAACTGATTGCGGCGTGACGGACGCCAACAGCGACCACCCATTCGCGCGATTCAAAACCACGAACCGAATTCCCCAATCCCCACGGTCGCGCACGCCAAAACGAACGAGCGAACGACATATCCGAACTCCTCCTCCTCCTTCCGGAGCAAGCCAGGCAGGTCCCGGCCCCGGTCGTGCGCGGATCCGCCTTCTCCAACCAATCCGATCGCCCCCGGCGCGCCAGCGAGCCCAGATTTATGCGGCCGTACCGCCGCGCGCGCCCCAGCCATGCAGCAGAGTAGCAGCGGGGAACAGGGGTTGACTGCCGCGGAGTTGGGGAAGGGAGGAGTAGCAGTAGATTGGTCGCAATGGCGAGCCTGTCGGACTCTGGCGGTGGCGGCGGCGGCGGCCGGTCCGGCGCGGAGCTGATGGTGCCGCAGTTCCACCTCAAGGCGCTGCACGCCATCCTCGCCGCGCGCGCGCCGCGGCCGATCGCGCCGGCACCGGCGTCGGCGGCGGTGCGGAGGCGGGACCGGTGGTTCCACCTGCCGCTCCACGGGCCGCCCGCGGCGGAGCACGTCCCGGAGCCGGCCCTCGGGGAGCCGGTCGTGGTGGACGTGTACCTGGCCCCGTCGGCCGGCGGGGAGGAGGAGGAGGTGGTGGAGAGGTGGACGGTGGCGTGCGAGCCCTGGGCGCCGGGGGAGAGGGCGGCCGCCGAGGCGGGGGAAGGGCTGGCCGTCAACAGGGCCTACAAGCGCTGCATCACGCTGCTCAGGTCGCTCTACACCACGCTCCGCCTCCTCCCGGCGTACCGGGTCTTCCGCACCCTCTGCGCCTCCGGCCAGGGCTACAACTACGAGATGGGCCACCGCGTCGGCTCCTTCGCCGCCCCCTTCTCCCGCGCCGACGAGGCGGCCATGCGCACCCGCGGCTTCCCCGCCGTCGAGACCCACCTCGGCCGCCTGGTCGTGTCCGTCCAGTACCTCCCCACCCTCGCCGCCTACAACTTCGAGATCACGTCTCTCTCCTCCGCCATGCTCATCACCGATTACGTCGGGAGCCCGGCAGCGGAGCCTATGCGCTCCTTCCCGTCCTCGCTCACAGAGGGTGCCAGCTCGGCCTTGCCGCTGCCCTCACGGCGCCCAAACAGCTGGGTGTCGCCTGCTGGTGCCTACTGGCCGCAGTCGCCCGGGCAGCACGCCAAGTTCTCACCGCCCCCAACGCTGTACGCGGCCTCTCCCACGCCATCTCCTCCCACGTTCGGTGGCGGCTACCTGCAGTCGCGGCTGAGCGGGGAGACCGCGCCAATGAGCATACCGCAAGCGGGCGGAGGGAGGGGCCCTGTCCAGTATCGGAACATGTCCGATCCCAGCAGGGGGTTCATGCTGCCTCCACCTTCACCCAAGAGCGTGCGAGGAGAGGCACGGTCGCACGAGTCACTCACAGAGAGCGGCCGCTCATCCCGGAAGGCAGAGGGGCTCCGGATGGCCGATCTCTACGCTAACTTGCCTGCTGCTCCAAAGGTGATTCCTCGCATTTGCATATGCTTAACTGATGATGTTTGTGTGCATAACTGAAAACTCAAGGACAGTTCAGATTGTATGGTATCCAAAACGCAGCCTGGGGTCTATAAGGGTGGTTGATATGATGTTTTGTCAAGTAAAGGGTGGAATCTTGGTAATTTTAGTAGTCCCATTAAAGTCGAAAGGCCACGGGAACACATGCACCCAACCATAAAGTTATGTTGATAAATCTCCCCTTGACCAATTCGGTAGTACTCCTATACAAGATCAGGAGCCTACACTTTAGTCTATTATTCTCTTTTAAACATATACATGATTTCAGCGCAAAGAGCGTGCCGTTAGAGCCTTAGTATTAGCGTACAGCTATTTGTTTGAGAACCAATACATAACTTGTTTAATTTAGCCTGATATTATTTCTCGAACATTTAGCCCGATAGTTGTAGTGGCATAATTTGTATCACTCCAGACTGGCACTTGGTATGATATGATTTTCATAATCTTATAACCTAGGGTGCTGTAGCATCCGACACCTTTTTACTGAATTTTGTCTAATTACTAATGATTATCTTATTGTCAATCTGTACTACGTACACACCGCGATTGGAGCATAGAGTTCTCTAGAATTGCTTGAAGGCTGACATGTTATTTTACTTATTTGAATTTCTTATTTTGGAAATGACACACCTCTCCTGGTTCTTTGTAGATCAAACCTGTCCAGACTAAATAACCTTAGTCGGTTAGACCTAATCGTATGAAGATGCATATTTGGGTCCCCAAAATATACAAGTTCCTGAAATATGTGTTTTGATACTTTTAGGACCAACTTGACATACTTGTGATACTTATAGGACCTCTGGTGCATTTTATATCCTGGCTGCTAGTTTTATAAGGCCCTGCGAAGTAAGAAAACTCCTTATTGAGTAAATTTGCTTAAGCTCGCCCTTTTCCAATAGACCCCCTCTGTATCCCTGATGCAATTCATAAATTAGTCTATGCATTACACATACTTGGTCGTAGTGAAATATTGGTTGTCAACTTTTGGTGAGAGTGTTATTGTATCATTATATGTCAAAACTTGAAAATCTTAATTTTTTTGCAGTATTCATATCTGGGATTGGAAATAACTCTACCAAGATAGATGTGAAACTTGTTATATTCATATTTGATACGGAAAATCACTATGCCGATAGCTGACAAACATAGTGTTCACATCAGAAATCAGTGGATTTCTAAGATTTTATTTCTAATCTTATGTCCTTGTTTTTTTTTTCAATGAGTTGAATTAAACAGTAAGTTCTTCTTTCTGAATTTGCCTTTTTAGGCCAATTCACTATGATCAAGATTCATGACCACTTGCATTTAAGATCAAAGTGTTGCTAAAGAAATATAATAAGCCAAATCGGCACGTCGTCTTCATAACTGAGCATCTCCCAGTCTCAGTTGGTGGGGCCGCATGAGAGATAAACCCGCCTACTCTAATTGAGTTATGATGTTTGGAGTACCAGAGTTCAACTCCTGTTGGTGTAATGACCGTGGAGTGCCTGGTGTCTTAGCCGTTCTTGTACAAGCAATACCAGTAGGTGCACCTGCTTGAGTTTTCTAAGCACATCTTCTTCATAAATCAGTATTTAGTGTACCCAAAATAACTTGTGTGTCCACTCCATTTCTGCTAACTGATTTGTGGGCCACATCTTATAAGAACCTAATACTGACATATTATGGGCATTTCCTTCTTATCTTTCACATGGTCCACAACCTGTGTACTGCAAGTGTGGGGATGTTTGGATGTTGGTAAAGTTTTATGTCAAAAGTGACAGGCAAACGGGTCACCACTCTTCACACCTATGATGGGCAGCATATGAGTCTTAGCCTTCATTTTCCATTGCCCTCTATAAACCAAAGTTGATAGACTAGATTTCATGCTTGCTAAGTCTATATCTTTTGGCTTATATGCAGACTAAGGACAGTAGGGAGGAATCTGGTAGGTTCTCAGGTGTTTTCTCCTCTAGTGGTTCCCCACGACATGGGATTTCAAGAAGTTCAAGCAGACTGTCTACACAGGATGATACTGATGATGCATATCTTCCTTTTGCTGTGGATGATGTCGATGCACCTGATTCCAGACCTGGGTATGTTTGAGTTCTTCAAATTGATATTTCCATGTGGTTCATGACCTGGGTATCCAGTTAGTTAATTATAAGCAGTATATGCTACATGTGTATGTTATGTGATGTTTAGTACTTGAGAGCCTTTTCTTAACCCTGTTTAATAAATCTTATTGATCAGCAAAATTTGATGTGCTTCCATGACATGCACTTTACAGGAGCAGTGGTGGTAGGGAGGACCAGTCGGGTACGTCCTCCCATAAATCGCAAGATGCTGCTGTTGGCTATCTTGTCCATCTGCTGAGGTCTGCACGTCCGTTGCGAGATCCTAGCAATTCATCTCTTACATCAAGGGCCGAATCTACTGAAGCAGGCAACACCAGCTCGTTCATGTCCCGTAGAACGTCTGATGCATTCGAGGAGCTTGAATCTTTCAAAGATATAAAGGAGAACCTGCTCTCCCGTAGTAGATCTAGAATGCAAAATTCATTCGATAGATCCTAACCTAATGGACGAAGGCTCCCAATCAGCCAATCACACAGGATACTATTACACGGTAAGATCGGTAGTCCGTATTGAGGAGTGAGGATATCTCCATGAGCTATGTATATAACCATCAACGGGCACTTGTTACGGCAACTCAACTCGTTCTCAAACTCAAGCAGTCTCATGATCCGCCTCTGTTGATAGTGTTTTGTATAAAAGCAAAACCGTCTGGATTCGTGTTGCTGGAAACCCACTGGTGTGTGTTCGGAATTATATATATAATCATCATCATACTGAACTACTTCCTCTGTTCCAAATTACTCGTCGCAGAAATGGATGTATCTAGAACTAAAATACATCTAGATACATCCATACCTGCACAAGTAATTCGGAACGGAGGGAGTATTTATTTGTTCCATGTCAGCTCTTTGTACTAGTGCTCTTGGTGCGCTGGATCTTTGATGTCGTGAGCTGAAATTTCTGTGCACGGCAGTATGAAACCATGAATTGCTTTGCGACTGGCCCAGCCCCCCTCGTGTGCTTTCCCGTTATCTGTAAAGCGCACTGCTAGAATGAAAATGGCAGCTTCGAGCTTGCTTGCAACGTTGGAGTTTCTGCTTTCAGCCTGGCCTACGTGCATCATATCTCCCTTGTGGCATCTGCCCTTTTCTTGAGAGCAAACGCGTCTCTGTAAATGAGTAAAGTAACGGCAGGAATCATCTTCATCATCCTTTTTGCTTGTTTTGAGTGAGAACGCGCTCCATCCACTCCAACGAAAACTTAGAGGATAACGCAAATGTTTCCTGAAAACGTTGAGCTGTGAGTCGACAGTTTTAGACGGATAACATGAGCACATCTGCACACAAGTTTCATCCTCCAGTAAGTTGGTGGCCGGTTGTGTTGATGCCTCTGTTCGCATTTGTGTATCATAGGAGTGGAGTGACTGGAACAAAACAAGCGAAATGACAGAGCCGCAAAAGTCACTGATGCTATGATGCGTCAGGACGACGGTTACCACGCCCTTCTTTCCCAGTTTTGTGGATTCGTCGAAATTTTTCATGGGATGCTCCGGACGAAAGTTTCGCAGTGGAGCGCAAACACCCAAATGAATGGATGTATGCTTTTACGTGTTACAAACGTGCCGTTTTTACTCTAGACCTCTAGTGGAAATGGAATCCCACCCGGCCCGAAGTGTTCTCGAGCGCCCCCAGATGTCGCACCACGTTCAACTGAGAGAGAAATAAAACGTCGCACCACGTCTCTGGATCTATTAATAAAGAAAAAAAAGAAGGAAACTCGCTATTTCGAATCAAAACTCTTTGCAGTGCCCATATAATACCTGCCGAAGGCATGCGACACACAGAAAGTTTGATCTCCGTGTGTGGCCACATGTCGTTCCATTTTATTTGCAGTGCTAAAGAAAAAAAAAATCATCACGCTGAGCTAGTTTCCCTATAAATACCCCGGCCGCCGCGAGTGTGGCTACCACGCTCCAGTCCAGGTTCCCGTTTGCACACCTCAGTGCCAGAGCTCCTCCTCTCACTGCACCAGTGGTGTGCTGCGTCCATGGCTCCCGCCGACCTCAGCTCGCACGTCCCCGCGGCCGCGGACGCCGCACCCAAGTCCCTCGCCAAGCCAAAGCAAGAAGAGATCAGCCCTGCGGCGGCCGACGTGGAGGCGGGTGGCGGCAGCCCGGGCGGCGACGGCGTCAACTACGCAGCGCGCGCGCAGTGGCTCCGCGCGGCCGTCCTGGGCGCCAACGACGGCCTCGTCAGCGTGGCCTCCCTCATGATCGGCGTCGGCGCCGTCAACGAGTCCAGGCGCGCGATGCTCGTGTCGGGCGTCGCGGGGCTCGTGTCCGGCGCCTGCAGCATGGCCATCGGCGAGTACGTGTCCGTCTACGCGCAGTACGACATCGAGGTGGCCCAGATCAAGCGCACCCGCCGCGGCCAGGACGGCGACGGAGGCAGCGGCGACAGGAGCAACCTGCCGAGCCCGACGCTGGCGGCGGGGGCGTCGGCCCTGGCGTTCGCCGCGGGCGGCGCGCTGCCGCTTCTGAGCGGCGGGTTCGTGCGGGCGTGGGCGGGCAGGGTGGCGGCCGTGTGCACGGCGAGCAGCGTCGGGCTCGCCGGCTTCGGCGTGCTGGGCGCGTACCTGGGCGGCGCCAGCGCGGTGCGGTCCGGGGCCCGGGTGCTCGTGGGAGGGTGGCTCGCCATGGCCACCACCTTCGGGGCGCTTAAGCTCTTCGGAGTGCACGCTGCTTAGGCGCGCGCAAATTACGGGCATAAGTATATATTTTGACGCAGAAATAACTGAGCCAATGGATTACTAGAACACAAGACTGGCAGAGTAGCGCTAGGTCTGTTGGTGCTTCGCTTTACGAAAACATACTACTGTATCATGTAGTGCTGATATATATTGCTGCTAACGTGCATGTGCCCGGTCGTACTACTAGACAGGAGATCGTATATTTGAACACAGATTATGAAGTTTGCTGTTGCTGGCCTATGAAAAGAATGTTGCATGTCATTCTGCATTCGGAAATGTCACAGCTTACGTACAGTTACAACTTGTCATGGGGTCAATCAAAATATTTCAACGGTGTTGCAATGTTGTAGTGCTAATGTGTTGTTGTATTGACAACGCCCGTGGATGCCATTTCTCTCCTTGGGTTTGGGTTGGGCGGCGTGATGTGGCATAGTTCTGCTCCACGAGTTCATCCTCGATCAACCCTGGTCCATTCTCTCCGATTCTCCGCCTTCGTTGCTCATGTTGGGTGCGAATTTCAGCTGTGTTGGGAGGGATTTTATGTTGCACCTACAAGTGTCACGGAGATGGCATCTACCTCTCGTATGGTGCATGGTGCCGCCTCTTGATTTCAGTTGACTATTAGCTGTGCATGCCAAAGTTTATCCCACGATGTTGGTTGCTAATCCGCAGTTGAGTTCTGTGTTCTTGGTGTAGTCCCGGTTGGTCGTTGTATTTGTGGTAACGATAGCATAGTATGCTAGAAAGATTCGTGCTTTTGTATGCACAATTTCGCAATGCCCTTTGACGGTGTTGGTGGCAAGCATCCAAACCAGAGCTAGACGGCGAGGATCTTGGGTGTGATGATCTCTTCATGCAGTGATATATAACATTCGACGAACAAAGAAAAGCCGCCAATACTCTACAGTGATAGTTGTTGAGTAAGCGGGTGTTGTTGTTGCAATCCTTTTGGACGTATATTGTTACTAATGTGCATGTGGCAGGTCGTACTACTAGCCAGTAGAATGTACTCCCTCCGCTCCTAAATATACAACGCTTTGGTAGTTCAATTTGAACTACCAAAATGTCATATATTCCTAAATATAGGGGGTATATTTGAATACAGATTCTCAAGTTTGCCGCTATTGGCCTATGAAAAAAATGTTTGCATCAATTCTGCACTCGGAAATGGGACTTCGTCGGAAATGTTACAACTTACGTGCAGTTATAATTTGTCATGATGTCATTCAAATATTTCAGCGGTTTCACAAAATGATGTAATTGGGTAATGTGTTCATGTAATGATAACGCCCTGTGGATGCCATTTCTCTTCTTGGGCTTGGATTAGGCGGCATGATGTGACACGGTTGTGCTCCCCAGAGTTCATCCTCAATCAACCCCGGTCCACCCTTCGCCTTCATTGCCTATGTTGGGTGTAGATTTCAGCGTTGTGTTGGGAGGGATCTTAGACTGCGCCTATAAGTGTCACAGAGATGGCATCTACCTCTTACTGGTGCGCGTCGGTCCTAAACAAACGGTTTTTAACCCCTTTTCGTGATGGCATTTGGAACCGTCGCCAAGTGAGTGTGTGCGATAGGGTGTCCTTCCCACACGACCCAGAAACCGTCGGGGATATGGAGCAGTGATCTAGAGGCCTCCCAAAATGTAATCGTGTGCGATGCAGCACACACTAAATTCTTTCGCACGTGTGGTATTGGTGATTACGCGTTAATAATGACGCAGTGAAACCATACGGTCTGTCGTAGCGAACCATTTGGGAAACAGTATGTAAGGCACACGGGTCAATATATGAACTGTGTGCGATTTGTGCTCCATCACACACGAGTTTTCTGCGTAACCCATCTGCCATGCTAGACTCTATCGCACACATTTGCCAACAATTACCGTCTGCGATAATGTTCTATCACAAACGGTTGAGGAGCCTGAGGGAGTCCTGGATTAGGGGGTGTCCGGATGGCCGGACTATACCTTCAGCCGGACTCCTGGACTATGAAGATACAAGATTGAAGACTTCGTCCCGTGTCCGGAAGGGACTTTCCTTGGCGTGGAAGGCAAGCTTGGCGATACGGATATGTGAATCTCCTACCATTGTAACCGACTTTGTGTAACCCTAACCCTCTCTAGTGTCTATATAAACCGGAGGGTTTTAGTCCGTAGGACAACATATAGAACAACAATCATACCATAGGCTAACTTCTAGGGTTTAGCCTCTCCGATCTCGTGGTAGATCTACTCTTGTACTACCCATATCATCAATATTAATCAAGCAGGACGTAGGGTTTTACCTCCATCAAGAGGGCCCGAACCTGGGTAAAACTTCGTGTCCCTTGCCTCCTATTACCATCCGGCCTAGACGCACAGTTCGGGACCCCCTACCCGAGATCCGCCGGTTTTGACACCGACATTGGTGCTTTCATTGAGAGTTCCTCTGTGTCGTCGCCGTTAGGCTTGATGGCTCCTACGATCATCAATAGCGATGCAGTCCAGGGTGAGACCTTCCTCCCCGGACAGATCTTCGTCTTCGGCGGCTTTGCACTGTGGGCCAATTCACTTGGCCATCTGGAGCATATCGAAAGCTATGCCCCTGGCCGTCAGGTCAGATTTGGAAGTTTAAACTACACGGCTGACATCCGTGGGGACTTGATCTTCGACGGATTCGAGCCACTGCCGAGCACGCCGCATTGTCACGACGAGCATGATCTAGCTCTGCCGCCGAACAGTGCCCTGGAGGCCGCACCCGCATCGGCTTC